GCCTTCACAAGGCACTAGAAGAAAAAAAGCTAGAGTCTGTAAAAAGTGAAGATTGGATGGACATAGATGAAAGGGCGGCTAGTGTAATCAAATTGTACCTATCAGATGATGTTCTCAACAATGTCGTCGATGAGCCAAGCACGAGGAAAATTTGGACAAGACAAGATAGTCTATACATGTCCAAAAACGTTAACAAATAAATTGTACCTGAAAAAACAACTCTATGCAATTGAGATGCGAGAAGGGACAAATTTTCTATCTCATTTAAATGTATTTAATGGATCAATCACGTAGCTTATAAACGTTGGAGTAAAGATTGAGGAAGAAGAAAAAGTAATCTTACTCCTGAATTCGTTGCCATTCTCCTACGATAATTTGGCAACGACAATCCTCCACGGCAAACCACCATTGAGCTGGGAGAAGTCACATCAGCTATCTTGCTCAATGAGAAGATGAAAAAAAAAGCCAAAAAGCTCAGGACAAGCCTTCGTCACCGAGGATAGAGGGAGGAATCTAGAAAGAAATCTAGGCAAATGGCATGATAAATCTAAAGGAAGGTCCAAATCATGGTAGAGGCTGTTAGAATTATGGTCAATAAGATTACCTTAAAAAGAACTGTCCACACCCACCAAAGCAAAGAGGTGGACAAAGGAAGAAAGGTGATGATAGGAATACAACCGCAACAGTACAGAATGATGATTTTGTGGCCCTAATCATGAACGAAGAAAAGGAGTGCACACAGGTGTCTACATCTGATTCAAAATAGGTTGTCAACACAGCAGCATCCTATCATCTCACTTTAGCTAGAGAATTCTTTTACATGTACAAAGGAGGAGATTTTGGTATAGTGAGGATGGAAAACACCAGTTTTTCCAAGATCGTGGGAATTTGTGATATTCGTGTCAAGAAAAATGTCGGATGCACAGTTGTTCTAAGGAATGTCCAACATGTTCTAATATACATATGAATTTGAATCAGGAATTGTCCTTGATCGTGAAGGATATGCAAATCGCTTCGCAAATGAGACATGGACACTCACCAATGGATCGCTGGTGTTAGCAAAAGGAAAGGCGTCCAACACATTGTATAAGACAAATGTTAAAATTTGTCATGGTGAGGTGAACGTAGCTGAAGGAGAACAATCTCTAGACTTGTAGCATCGGAGATTGGCACACATAAGTGAATAAGGATTGTAGATCTTGGCAAAAAGATCACTTATCTCCTTGGCAAAAGGTACACCACTTAAACCCTGTGATCATTGCTTATTGGGCAAGCAACATAGGGTATCTTTTCAGAAGACTTTTGATAGAAAATTAGATATATTGGATATGGTATATTCTGATGTTTATGGTCCTATGGAGGTTGAATCGATGGGCGGAAACAAATACTTTATTACTTTTATTGATGATGCTTCAAGAAAGGTGCGGATTTATCTCCTGAAAACCAAAGATCAGGCATTCCAGGTATTTCAATCATTCCATGTAATGGTGGGAAAGGGAGATAGGCCGAAAGCTGAAGTGTCTCCGATCAAACAATGGTGGAGAATATACCTCAAGAGAGTTTGAAGGATATTGCTCTAACCATGGGATCAAACATGAAAAAACTGTTCCTGGAGCACCACAGTGCAATGGTGTGGTTGAGAGAATAAACTGCACTATTGTTGAAAGGGTAAGAAGCATGCTCAAAATGGCGAAATTGCCTAAATCATTCTGGGGTGAAGCAGCACGTATAGCCTACTATATCATCAATAGAAGTCTATCAGTTCCATTGGGATTTGATATTCTTGAAGAAGTATAGAGAGGCAAAGAAGTGTCATACACTCATTTGAAAGTGTTTAGCTACAAAGCTTTTGTTCACGTGCTGAAGGAATAGAGATCGAAGCTTGACGATAAAACTATTCCCTGCATCTTCGTCGGATACGAAGATGAAGAGTTTGGCTATAGGCTATGGGACCCAGAGAAAAAGAAGATTATCAGGAGCAGAGATGTGGTCTTTCGTGAAGATGAGTTTGGAATTGATACCCAAACAGAAAAGGCCAAAGAAGAAAATGGTACAATTTCACATGAGATCACAATTGCATCTCCATCAGATCATGCCACAGATGGAAAAGATGCCATACCAGAAGAAGCTGATGATGAGGTTGAAGAGTAGGGGAGTAATAGCAAGGGAGGAACCCACCCTACCAGAAGCAGTAGTACAACCTCTCAAGCAATTTGAACGAGAAAAAAAAACCATCATCCAAGTATCCATCTTTTAAGTATGTATTTGTTACTGATGAGGGGGAGTTAGAGAACTTCCAAGAAGTATTGACTCATCCGGAGAAAGATAAGTGGATAGAAGCCATGAAAGAAGAGATGAGCTCTTTTTGGAAAAATGACACGTACAAGCTGCCTGAACTTCCAAAGGGAAAAAGATCACTCAAATGCAAATGGGTTTTTAAAGTGAAGAAAGATGGAAATCGCAAACTGATTAGACACAAAGCTCGGCTGGTGGTCAAAGGGTTCAAACAGAAGAAAAGAATTGACTTTGATGAAATATTTTCACCAGTGGTGAAAATAACTTCCATCTAAACAATTGTAGGCTTAGCAGCTAGCCAGGATTTTGAATTGGAGCAGTTGAATGTTAAAATTGCATTTTTCTTGGAGATTTGGAAGAAAAAACCTACATGGAACAGCTAGAAGGATTCGGAGTTAGAGGGAAAGAATACATGGTGTGCAAATTAAATAAGAGTCTATATGGATTAAAGCAAGCTCCAAGACAGTGGTACAAGAATTTGACTCATTCATGAAAAGTCAAGCACATAAGAGGATTCTTTCAGATCCATGCGTATACTTCAAAAGGTTCTATGACAACAACTTTATTATTTTTTTGTTGTATGTGGATGACATATTGATTGTAGGGCGTGACAAGGAGCAAATAACCAAATTGAAGAAAGACCTATCCAAGACTTTTGATATGAAAGACTTAAGTCATGCACAACAAATCTTGGGGATAAAGATTGTTCGGGATAAGAAGGAGAGAAAGTTATGGTTGTCTCAAGAGAATTATATTGAGCGCGTTCTAAAGCGCTTCAATATGAAAGATGCTAAACCAGTTAGTACTCCTTTTGCTGGTCACCTAAAGTTGAGTAAGAAGACATGTCCTACAACAACGAAAGAAAAAGAGAAGATGGCGAAAGTTCCTTATTCCTCTGCAATTGGGAGCTTGATGTATACCATTGTCTGTACCAAATCGGATATTGCTTATGCTGTTGGAGTGGTTAGTTGGTTTCTTGACAACTCGAGAAAAGAACATTAGGAAGCTATAAAGTGGATACTCAAATATCTAAAGGGTACGTCAAAGACGAATCTATGCTTTGGAGGGTCAAACGTAATTTTAGAAGGTTTTACAGATGCTGATATGGCAGGTGATCCTGATCATAGAAAATTCACTTATGAGTTCGTGTTTACATTTTCAGGAGGAGTTATATCGTAGCAGTCAAAGTTGTAAAAGTGTGTTGCACTATTAACAATTGAAACTGAGTACATTGCTGCTACAAAAGTAGGGAAAGAAATGATTTGGCTATAGAGATTTCTTCAAGAAATTGGTCTGCACCAAGAGGAGTATGTAGTCTATTGTGATAGTCAAAGTGCAATAGACTTGAGCAAAAACTCCATATATCACTCACGAATAAAGCATATCAATGTACGGTACCATTGGATAAGAGAGCAGGTGGAAGATAAGTCCCTTTCGTTGAAAAAGATCTCCACTGATAGAAACCCTTCAGATATGATGACTAAAATGATTCTCTGTAATAAGTTCGAAATGTGCAAAGAACTTGTCAGTATGAGCTCTACTTAGAACAATGACAGAAATCTCCTTCTAGAAGCATGGGTCTGGAGGGGGAGATTTGTGGGGTCTAACCCATGCATGCTTATGTGTGAAAGAATCCAAAGCCTTTCACACCTCTTAGCTGCTGCGGCTGTGGCTTCTTTTGACAAATGAAGGAAAAGCACCTAAATGGAGCCTGCATTGTTTGACAATGTAGCAAATGCCAGCCGATCAACAGCTTATGGTTTGGAGAAATTTGCACCACTCCTCTCCTATAAATAGAGGAGATGGCTCTCCAAGTCCTCTCCAAGTACATCAAAAACAAGCAACAAAGCTTGAAAGAGAGAAAGAAAAGAGCTAGGAAAAATCCTTGTGAAAAGGGTAAAAATATTATAGTGAGGGTGATACAAAAGTGAGTGAGAATTTTTTTGTGAGTGGATATCTCGAGTTAACAAAAATACTCGAGAGTCTTATGTAAAATTCCTTCCTATAGTGATGATATTTTCTCCTCTTAATACATGATTTTTCCTGATTTAGGTTTTTCACGTAAATCTTGATGTCTATATTTTACCTCATCCTAAATTTACTATGAGTGTATTTTTATTCTGTGGGTGTGCTAGTCCCAACAAATGGTATCAAAGAATCTTTGGCCCTAACAATATCATCCCCGCCCACGCACCCGGCCATGCTAACAATTTCCATTAGCAGGTAAATTGCATTTTTATTTTCATAATTTATACAAATAAATCATGATAAACCTGATCATTTTTCAAATATAATCAGCCCGAAGAATGACCAGATACTTTATAATCACCCCATTTAAATAAATAATTTGTCTTGGAACCCCTCCTTTTTACCTGTGACGAAACTAAGACCTCAAGAATGGTGAGCGTAAATTTTTGGATGGATACAAAATTTAAAAATTAGTAGAACCATTTTATAATAAATTTATAATATATATACTTGCTAAAAAAATATTCAGAGTGTGCCTGCAACTCAACTTTGCACCGAATATTAAATAAGTTGATATATACATATAGATATAAAAAATATATAATATATATAAATTTGATATAGCAATATATATATATATATATATATAGAGAGAGAGAGAGAGAGAGATGAAAAAAAACATACCATGATTCCTTGGTTGAAAATCCATCCCATAATAAATCCAAGAGGCACTCCAATCAGATAGTAACAGCCCAGATTAATGTAGGCAAGGTAAGATTGCCATCCCGATCCGACAGCAACCCCTATTTATCATGGTAAAAATATGATAAATAAGTAACAAAAATTAATGAACCCAAAAACGAAAAGTAAAAATTAAGAAGCAAGCATTTACCGGAGAGAAGAGGTTGGACGCTGTTGAGAAGACTAGTGAAAGCTAAGAGGACTGAAAGCTTGTTTACTGCTTCCAGGACCGGTTTGCTGGAGAAGAAAATTAGGGCAAGGTCGTTGTGGAAGATGAGAATCAAGAACCAGAAGAAGAGGCCAATCACCGTCGACGTAGCCACGGAAACCATCATTGCGAATTTCGCAGCTTTTCGGTTGCCTGCCCCGAGCTCATTTGCAACCCTTACTCTGTTTTATACATGCCCACAACAATCTACAGACGAGATAACCCTTCATTTCTCTCTCTCTCTTTTTTTTCCTGAAAAATCAAATATAATAACTGCCAAACACTTCTTTGTTTAATCTCTCATTCACTGCTCATAAAACAACAATCACCAAGAAAAATATCTCTTAGTTCATTTTTATTTTGAAATTTTTTTATTTTCGTCAGAAAACCCAGGTCCAGAAATTTGCTACAATTGAAAAAGACAAGACATTGGAGAAAGCTGATTGACAAACCTATTAGCTAGAAACCAATTGGAAATTAGGGTTGATAATGAAATGTGAACCACAAATATGGACCATCTCTTGGCTAGTCCAACCGTGATTGACAAACCTATTAGCTAGAAACCAATTGGAAATTAGGGTTGATAGTGAAATGTGAACCACAAATATAGACCATCTCTTGGCTAGTCCAACCGTTCATCCCATCTCTGCTCCACGACAATAGTGGAAAACTAAAACGGGAAGAATATTTTTTAATTATAGGTGATTTTGATGTTTAAAAAATTTTGGAATCAAATCTCCAATATCTTAATTTGAAATTTCAGAAAAATTTTTAGTTAAAACTGTTAAAATTCATAATATCTAAATTCTAGGTAAAACATTAAGTAAAAAATTGTAGTTCAAAACCTAAATATCCTAGATGGCAAACACACCCTTCACTTTCCCATACTCTCTCTCTCTCTCTCTCATTCCAATTTTTGGGACATGGATTTAGTAGGTTTTTGCAAATGCTTATGGAAAATAGAAGTAGCTTTTTTAAGCAGAAGAGAATAGAATCAGAAGTAGGAGAAGGTGTTTGTAAAATGTGTAAATTTTTTTTCGAAATCAGTACAATATGTTTGGGTGTGAAACGATGGTTGAGAAATTTTTAAAACCAAAATAACAATTTTGCCTTTACATATATATTTTTTATTTAAATTTTTATCAAAATTTCCAAACCTTCAGCTACTATGCACAGCGTAGCTATTGCACACAACGGTGCCAAGGGTCGTTGCGTGCGGCAGAGGCGATGGCTGCACATAGCAGTGATCTGGGCATTGCTGCATGCGGCAGGTCGCAAGTAACGGCTGTCTGTAGCCGCTGCATGTGGCCATCACAGAGGCCGCTGCAAGCAGCTATCGCAAAGGCCATGAGTAGCAGCTGTTTGGGAGCCGCTGCATGCGACCCTCGCAATAGTCACATGCAACAGCCGTCTAGACGCCGCTATTGCAGTAGGCCACACAGTGGCCGTCTGTGGTTGCTGCATGCAGCCATCGTCGCTGTCCAGCAGCGGTGAATGGTGGCAAGTTGTCATTAGGGGCAATATTAAAAATAATGTAAACGTTTGATGCTAAAAGGGTCAAAATAATTTAAAACAACTTTGATTTAATTATAAAAATATCACTAAAATTAAAAGCACATTTTTCCTTGCTTTCAATTTTTCTATTGTTTGCAATTTAATTGAACTGATTATAAGTTGAAATAAGCAATCCCAAACACCCCGTAAGCACTTGTAGACCTTGGAAAAGCAAAAGCACTTCCTAGAAGTTGTCCTAAACACCCCCTTAGAGTAGTAGGGAAAGTTTTGGTTGGGGGGGGGGGGGGGGTTGTGGGAGGCGCTTTATTCTACTAAATCATGCAATAATAGTTTTCCGAATTAAATTTGTGAAAATTTTGCTTAAAAAATAGATTATGCCCCACCCCCCCCCCCCCAAAAAAAAAGAAAAAACTCAATATTTTTTAAACCACGCAGGAGTGCATTATCTGTTATAATTATCAAATTTGAAAGTATCATAATTTTATTTTAATTTAAGTAAATGATCCTCATTTGTTAGACTGTCACATCAGATAATGCGAAATAACTGCACTAAACTCGGACCATTGAAGTAGGGGAAGCGATAAGGCTGGAGGAGATATTCAACTTCTATTTCAGAAAATCATCTTATTTTTCCTTTTGTTTTTTGAAAAATGAAAAGGTGCCAAATTCGACAACCTTCATTCAAGAAATCATGTAAGTAGAGCTGTATTGGTTCCAAACCTTACCACCCTCCTCTGCTGGGTTCTAAAGAAGAAGTGAAAGAAACAGTATGGCCATGAATAATGCCTTTCTCTTCCTTCTCTTCTCCGTTTTAATATCTTGCTTAGTATCTCCAGCCCTGGGGAAGAAACCAGCGGAAGCACTTGACAACCTTTACAGAGCTAAGAAAAGCTCCGCCATCGACGCTACCCATTTCGAGGCAATCAAGCTAGTTGAACAACCAGAGGTGCTGCCACAGGAGGGACTGAAAGAGCAGGACATAATCGAGAGATTGCCGGGTCAACCCAGCGTTGGGTTCACTCAATACGGTGGGTACGTCACCGTTAACAAGACTGCCGGTCGTGCTTTGTACTACTACTTCGTGAGGCACCGGGTCCTAATAAAAGTTCTCTGCCTCTCGTCCTATGGCTAAACGGAGGTATACACAACCATACATTCTCGAATTTCGCCTTTTCTTTTAAATTAAAAAAAAAGGAAAATCTTTGGTAAAGCCACGTATCACGCAGCACCACGTAATACTAAATTCCAAATATTATAAAAGTGGGGCCATTTTAATATTATTTATGTGCACCGTTGCCAGATTTCTCAGTCTTACCTAATGAAAACAACTGGTTCAAACTCACGACAAAATTGTCAACTTTAGGACTGTTGAAGTATGAAAATATCAGCATGAGTTTGGAAATTAATTATTTATTCACACGAACGGTCTCTTTCCAGGACCTGGTTGTTCTTCCCTTCTCGGAGCAACGTTGGAGCTCGGACCCTTCCGCGTCCACAGCGATGGCAGAACTCTCTTCACGAACCCATTTGCGTGGAATAATGGTAGTTCTAATACCATCTTTACTTATATGTAACTAATTAAATAAATTATGTTGATAATAAAATTACTGCTGTGCAGCTGCAAACGTGTTGTTCTTGGAGTCGCCGGCCGGAGTTGGGTTTTCGTACTCGAACACAACATCGGATATTGTGGCCAGCGGGGACATGAGAACGGCGTCCGATAACTATGCGTTCTTGCTGAATTGGCTGGAGAGGTTTCCCGAGTACAAGAACAGGGACTTTTATATAGCCGGCGAGAGTTACGCCGGCCATTACGTGCCCCAGCTCGCCACCACCATCCTTGCCCATAATAAGATTGCCGAAAAGACCCTCATCAATCTCAAAGGCATCATTGTAAGTCTCTCTCTCTCTCTCTCTCTCTCTAAATTACCCAATTACAAGAAGATTTATTTAACAGCGGTCCTTTTAATAATTTCTAAAATTAAACCCTAGATATTAGTATCAATAAATATCAAAGCTAATAAAACCCTACCAGCTTAAAATGAGGGTTCACTTTATTGGGTGGATGAAGAATGAAAAATAATTGAAGCTGACTGGGAAGTGGGTTGATCTTGTCTCTAGCATGGATAAGTCCAAAACAATATTTATACGAATGAAAAATGGCATATAATAGAATAAATGGTAAGACAAATAGCAAAGGGTTCTCATAAAAGCACTTTAATTGGTGAAATACAGTGTCTTTTTTTGTAATTACCATCAATTATTTGTGTATTTTTTTACTGATTTTATAAAAATAATAATTTACAAGTGGATTGAGGGATTTTAATTGGACATATATATAATTAGAAATAAGGCAATTATGCAATTTTGGTCGTTCCTTATTTTTTGTGAACACATGCTTGCAGATCGGAAATGCAGTAATGAACGATGAAACAGACACGTGGGGAATGGTTGACTACTGGGGAAGTCATGCCCTAATTTCGGATGAAACATTGCACAAAATCCATCAATACTGCAATTTCTCCCCCAACGCCAACACTTCCGACCAATGCAACAATGCAGCCGAGCAAGTTGGTAACGACCTTGGGGACATCGACATGTACAATATTTATGCTCCTCTCTGCCTCTCCTCCAACCTCACAGTGAAACCCAAGAAAGCATCCGTACGTTACTTAAACACATGCTATAAAAATTTAAAATTTCTTCATCACTTCTTAAATTTTAAATCCAATTTTAATCATCTCAATTTCTAATTTGTTATTTCTAGTTTCAAGTATAACACCTAGGTCTTAAAAATGTAATACATTTATTTGGTCCCATATCAACTTTTTGGATTTTTAAGATTGGTGACAATAATCTTCTTCCAAATGTAGGAAGAAAGTTGATTGCTGAGTCAATTTAGGAAAAATTCGAAACTGCAAGTCTAAATGTGTAATAATTAATATTTTGAGTGCCTAAGTAATATTCTGGTGCAGGTATTGAACTACGATCCCTGCAGTATGGATTATGTGCAAGCTTACCTTAACCGGCCTGAAGTTCAAAAGGCCCTACATGCCAACGTCACCAAGCTCAATTATGATTGGGCACCATGCAGCGAAGTCCTCCAGAAGTGGGAAGATAGCCCTCCAACAATTCTTCCTCTCCTCCAAGAGATCATGGCTAATGGGCTTCGACTGTGGGTATATAGGTAATTAAACATCCCCCCTCTTCACTTCTATCCTCCTTAGCTTTTGTCATCTTTGTTATTGTGATGGCAGTGGGTGAAATTACTAATTTGTTGTTCACAGTTTTCTTTTTGTCAATTGGGTCCAAGAGGAAATTAATTACTTACTGTTGGATGATTTGCAGTGGTGATGTAGATGGAAGGGTACCAATCACTTCAACTAAATATTCTCTTAATAAGTTGATGCTTCCCGTAAAGACTGCATGGTATCCTTGGTTCCTTGACGAAGAGGTATTTTATTTTTGCTTTTTCTTTTCTCTACTTTTAATTCCCTTCAGCTGGATTTTTAATTAATATTAATTATCATCTATCTTTTTGTTCCCTATTCAATTTGATTTTCATTTTTCGTTTCCCATTTTTAATCCGGAGGAGGAAAATTTTAGAATTTTGGAAATTTAAAATGAATCAGAAAATTCAATTTTTGTGATCAATGATTGGTTGATTGAGAAGACACGATAATATAATAACACACGAAATTCTAATTAAAGGAAGGAACAAGATTGATTAAGAAAGTTGAGCTACCAATTTCATTTATTTTTTTTCCAATCTCTAACATCTGGTGCCCAAAAAAACTAAAAGGAGAGGAAAATCCAGGGATAAACCCCAATAAAGAAATAATATATTTATAATATTTAATTTTTATTGGAAATTTAAATATAATAATGTATAAATTGAAATTACATTTATGGGTATTGATCAGGTTGGGGGATACACCCAAGTGTACAAAGGAGACTTAACACTCGTAACGGTGAGAGGAGCAGGGCATCTAGTGCCGAGCTACCAGCCTCCAAGAGCTCTTTCTCTCATCCAGCACTTCCTAGCGGGGATACCTCTCCCTTCTTCTTCTCAAACACGCAAGTCATAAATAAATAAATAAAAACCTGGATTTTATTTCCATTTTGGTCCCTCTTTCTTCTTCATTTAATAACAGGTCCCTACTTTGGTTGTTTTTCAACAGTTATTTATCATTTTCTGGAGCAAAAATATGCAATATGTGTATATATTGCAATAAATAATTATTATTTAGTTAATAAAAGTGTTTGTTGGTAATTAAGATTAGATCTTGTCTTGTGGCCACTCATTTTTCCATTTTTCTTTTGATTTTTATTTTTATGCATGTAAATAATTATGGCAATTTAATTCTTTCACCTTGATGAACGATCTTTCTAATGTTTATTTAATATAATCTTATTAATAAATAAATATTGCAGATATATTTTTCAAAAAATTGAACCCGGGTGTAACATGGTCAAGCCTCTACTTGAATTGAGAAGCCTGATAGACAATAGATTTTGCTCATGTCACGAGAGAGAGAGAGAGAGAGAGAGAGAGAGAGAGAGAGAGAGAGAGAGAGAGAGAGAGCCAAAGCTAAAAAAGTGGGAAAGATTTAGGTGGCATATGGTACGAAATGATTTTTAATGAAATAGAATGAGAATGAGAATGGAATAAAATTAGGATTCTTACGAGTATGTTTGGTGCACACTGATTAAATGAGAATTCTCATTCTATTATTATATTTGGTATATTGGAATAGAGATAGAAAAGTAAACCAAAAAAATATTTAAAGACAAAAATACCCTTTGTTATAGAGATTTAAAAATTTTAAAAATAACTTTTAATATATTTTAAACATATTAAAAATTTTTAAAAATTAATTTTTTATTCTAACATTAAAATATTAAATTCATATATATGTGTGTTTGTATGTATATATATAATAAGTTATATTATATTATATAAATTTAATAAATGATATAATATATCATATTAATATAATAAAGATATAATATATCATAATATTATACAATTTATTATATTATACTAGATATATATAATACATAACCATATTATACAATTTATTATAGTGTAATATAATATATTAATATATAATATTATAAATACTTATAATTTTTTATATCTATAGAATATTTTTATCATTTACTTAAAAAATAAAAATTAGTATAATAATTAATACTTAAATAAAAATTCCATCAGGGAATGTAATCCAGATTCTATCACCCTAGTGAAGGAATCCAGATTCCTTCATTTGATGGAATCCTCATTTCTTAATGAATGAGAATTCACATTTTAAAGTGTCTACCAATGTACTTTTTTGATATTTTCATTCTTATTCACATTCTCTCAAAAGGATTTCAATATAGTATACATCACCTTAGAGTTTCTCTTTAAATTGCAAGGTTTAATAGATGGATCCATGGTTTTGGAGTAAAAAATCCAAATCCAATTACAAAATAAAACGAGGCTAATTGGTTTAGAGTCGATCTATCTATTGATGAAGTAGTATTTAGAGCCTACTAGCACCGGAGAAAGATAGCCGCTTAGATTTGGGAATGAATGATAGTCATTAATCCAATTGAAAAGTATTCCATCCCTTCTTAGAAACATGGAATTCTGCCGTCAATTTGTCAGTAAATATGTTAAAAATAGTAAAGGAAATATTTTTCACTAATTTCACTTAAATTTACTGTTAAATTCTTCTAAAAATTGTCAAGAAAATATTTACTTGCTAATGTTATGCTTGTTTGTTGCTGTGTGTAAATAACAAATAGTGAGAGAACATCTTAGTTGCTAATCCATCACTAAAAACAATAAAATTTAGCAAGGGAATCATTTTGTTACTAATCTTTCGCTAATCCTTATTTCATTGATGGTGAGGTATTTTTTGTTCTTCCCCCCCCCTTTTTCTTAATATTTAATTGTGTTCCTGTTATTTTTTAAGGCATGTTAGTTTTAACGATTTAAATAGGGTTTAAAAAAAACTCATTTTCACAAATTCTACTTTCTAATTTGGTAGAAAATCAATTTTTTCAAACTCGATTTATTATTTTTTCCCAAACAGGGTTAACTAAATAAAGGTTTTGTAAAGCTTATTTTACTTAAACTCTCTACTTCAACTTTCACGAAATTCTTGTTTGATTTAGTATTCAAACTCACTTTTAATACGAGGGTAAGAAAAAATAAATATATTTTGAATTTATTTAAACTCTATTTTTAAGTTTGCTTTAGTTGTCTCTCTTTCCAAATTCACCTTATCCGTATTATAAATCAAATATGAATTTGATGCTAAATATAATTTACTTATTTATCTTTCTATTTTTTCTAGTACATTGGATTATCATTTTTCTTCTTTTTATCCCCAAAAAAAAAAACACTTTGGAGACTTGGATTTCTAGATAGAAGGAAGGGAAAAATTATAGAAATAAAAAGTAAATAATCCTATTCTCATATTTTTCTTTCATTGTTTCTCCCCCTTTCTTTAATTTTATTCAATGTCATCCCATTTATTAAGATTTGGCAATTGATTTATCTTGTAATTCTACATTTACTTGATCAATTTTTGGGGGGAAATTATTCATGTATTTGTAATTTATACAAATTCATTGCCAATATTAAATTAAATTATGGCCGTGTCCTTTCCCCAGCCTCTGCTGGGAGCCATCCTGAGAATTATACCTGTTGGGTTTCGAACTTCAAATTAAGTTCGTTTGAATCCTTTTCCACTGAATCTTGTCTCCATTTCATGTATTTTAAGTCTAATTTTTATTAATATACTTACTAAAATCATTTTTTCAAAATCAGAATTTCTTCACTATTTTAAGTTGTCTTGAAAATTCACTTTCAAAAATTTATAACAAGTTCAATTCAAGGTCTTTTTAACCAATTCTTGAGTCTGCTGGTTGGGGCATTTTCAAGTCTATTTTTTCCGAATTGAGATTGAATTGTTCCGAAATCATTTATCATAATATCCAAACACAGCCAATTGAGTAACTTAAGAAAATTATATGATGGGAAACAACTACAAACATGATTGCATAATAATAAAACAAAAGGAGTTATGAATAAAAAAAATGTCTTAAGACCTTAAACATATATTAGCTTTCTATATTGCCACGTGCCCGCGTTGTATTCGACAATTCTCTTGCTTAGCATTTTCTATTCTTTTTTTTTGATATTAATTTTTCATATTAAATTTTTTTGTGAATATTCTATTAATTGTTATCTATATTCAAAATAATAGTTTGATATTTCAATGAATAAATTTTCTTAGAAAATTTTCATATATTTTGTTATCAACTTCTACACCACGTAACAAATACACGTAATGAAATAGGGTTTTTTATTCTATTAGATATTATATATTACCTTTTAATATTTTTATGTTGCTTCGTTAATAATTATAGCAAAAAGAAAATATAGAGTTTCTTTATTTTTTGGTGCACTATGAATATAGGCTATCTTAATTCTTTTTGTTATTTGGTGTCCTATGAATTTTTGGTTTATTAGATAGGTACTAGCAAGTGTATATGTATATTATATGAAATATATAAATATTTTTTATTGTATTTGATACTTAAATTAAATAAAAGAAAAAAGTTAATAGTATGTTAAATTTAATAAATTAATTTTTTTTAATTATATTGTCATTGAGTTTTATTTCTAATTGACTAACTCATAAATTCACCTGCCAATCTGCTTCTATTTGACCAAACCAAGCTGCATGATTGGGAAGGATACGACGACTGGCACGGTTTAATATTTTTCGTCAAACGATTCTTGTTGCATCACGATAATTTTTTGACATATAAACCAAGATTATCAAAAGCGAGTTTTTACTTAAAAACATTTGGATTCTGTAAAAGTAAAAACGTAAAAGTGAAGTATAAAAGCGAAGATTTTACTTACTACACACATTTACACACACATATATATAAATGAACAATTGACACTAGTATAAGTGTAAAATACTTGCACCAAATTTTACAAGGCTGATTTGGTCAAAATTAATGAAAAAGATTAACTACAACTGTCTTCCACTATATTAATTTACAGTTATTTTTTTCCACTATATTGATTTACAATTATTTTTCTTTTTAATTACAATTATCTTCTATTATATTAATTTATATTTATTTTTCTTTTCAAAATATTAATTAATCTTATCTATTAATTTTGACTAAATCAACTATATAAATTTGGTATAGGTGTTTTATACTTATGCGGATATCAATTAATCTCTTCTTATATATATATAATTAATATAACATAAAAATAAATAATAATAATTCAAAATAAATAACTAAATCATAAATATTCAAATATAAAGTTAAAATAAATACAATACCAATAAAAAAATAATACGAAATTAAACTAAAACAATCAAGTCATTTATATGACATAGAGACTAGAATAGTGCATTAGATGAAAGCGGTTAGTAAATTAAAAAATTATAAATTTAAAATTAAAATCATAAAAGCGGTTAGTAAAAGCATAATTTTATAATTTTTACTATTTTAAGACAAATTTTTATAAGATTTTACTTAAAAAAGATTTTACTTATAACCGTAAACGCTTGGTAAGGGCAAAAGCATGAAAGCATAAAAATTTATGCTATTAAGGCACGCTTTTGAAAAGAATACCCCACGATCACCCCTAATCTTAGCCGTCTTGGTTATTGACTAATTGGACAAGCTCCCTTCACAAAATCCTATAAATGAAGCAGTATTTGTTCCAAACCTTGCACCCCCCACCCCCTCCTGGGTTCTAAACAAGAGGCGAAAGAAGCAATAATGGCCATGAATAATGCCTTTTTATTCCTTCTCTTCTCTGTTTTAGTATCTTGCTCTGTATCTCCAGCTCTGGGGAAGAAACCAGTGGAAGCACTTGACCATCTTTTCAGAGCCAGGAAAAGCTCCGCCTTCGACGCCACCCATTTCGAGGCAATCAACCTTGTCGATCAATTGGAGGTGCTACCACAGGAAGGATTGAAGGAGAAGGACAGAATCGAGAGACTGCCGGGTCAATCCAGAGTTCGGTTCGCTCAATACGGTGGGTACGTCACTGTCAACGAGACTGCTGGTCGTGCTTTGTACTATTACTTCACGGAGGCACCGGGTTCTAGTCACAGTTCCTTGCCTCTCCTCCTCTGGCTAACCAGAGGTATGCACGATTACGCATCCTAGGATTTCACCTTTTCTTTCAAATTAATAAAAAAAAGGAAAATCTTTGATAAAAGGCATGGGTTGCGCAGAACTATATAATACTAAATTATTTAGCTTAAGAATTCCTAAATAATACTGAATTATATATTTTAAATTTATTATTACAATACATCAAAAAAAGAAAAACAAAAAGAAACTTATGAATCATAATAAGCCACGATGTCGTATTCATCTTCTTTGTATTTTTTAAAAACAATTTGGAAATTAATTATATTAAGGCGGTCTCTTCCCAGGACCTGGTTGTTCTTCCCTTCTTGGAGCAATGGTGGAGCTCGGACCCTTCCGCATCCACAGCGATGGCAAAACTCTCTTCACGAACCCATTTGCGTTTAATAATGGTAGTTCCAAAATCATCTTAATTTATATATAATTAATTAAATTAATTAAGTTGATAAGAAAAATTACCACTGTGCAGCTGCAAACGTGTTGTTCTTGGAGTCGCCGGCCGGAGTTGGGTTTTCGTACTCGAACACAACATCGGAAACTGTGACCGGCGGGGACAGAAGAATGGCGTCCGACAATTATGCGTTCTTGCTGAATTGGATGGAGAGGTTTCCTGAGTACAAGAACAGGGACTTTTATATAGGCGGCGAGAGTTACTCCGGCCACTACGTGCCCCAGCTCGCCACCACCATCCTTAGCCATAATAAGGTTGCCAACAAGACCTCATCAACCTCAAAGGCATCATTGTAGGTCTCTCTCTCTCTCTCTCTCTCTCTCTCTAAATTACCCAATTACGAGAAGATTTTTTTTTAAACACCCTAGCAGGTTAAAATGGGAAGTTCACTTTTATTGGGTGATTGAAGAATGAAAAATAGTTGAAGCAGGGTGGGGTTTGGGTTATCTTACCTCTAACCATGGAGAGGTGCAAAACAATAATTATACGAAACAAAAACGGCACATATATATAGAATAGAATAAATGGAAATACAAATACCAAAGTCTCCTCATAAAAGTAGCTTGATTTATGAAGTACAGTGTCCTTTTTTGTAATTACCATCAATTACTTATGTATTTTGAACTGATTTTATAAATAACAAAATAATATATATATATGTATATATATAATATTTGCAAGTAGATTAAGTGATTTGGATTAGACATGTATAATTTTAAAGAAGATAATTATACATATTTGGTTGTTTCTTGTTTTGGTGAATACATGCATACAGATTGAAATGCAGTGTTGAATGATGAAACAGACTTGTGGGGAATCGTTGACTACGTGGCATCCCATGCCCTGATTTCTGATGAAACATGGTACCAAATCCACAAATAAATACTGTGATTTCTCCCCAACACCAACATTTCCGACCAATGCAAGAATGCAACTGTACCAGCTTTTAACGATGTTAAGCACATCAACATTTACAACATTTACGCTCCTCTGTGCCTCTCCCCCAACCTCACCGTCAAGCCCAAGAAAGCTTCTGTATGTAACTTACACATGCCATAAAAATTTAAATTTCATCACTTTTTAAATTTAAAAATCAATTCTATTTTGTTACATTTATTTAGTCCCATTTCAACTTTTGTATAGAATTAAATCCCTTATTTTTACACATCTGAGGGGATAGTGATGGTTTATAAGATTAGTAACAATAATCTTCTCCCAAATGTAAGAAGAATGTTGGTTAGAGAGTTAATTTACGGAAAATTTGAAATTGCAAGTCTAAATGTGTAATACTTAAAACAATGAGTACCAAAGTAATTCCCGAATAAAATTTCGGGACCCAACTGTGTAATTTCGTTTGTTTGTTTCTATGTTCTGTGCCCACATGCATACTGAAAATCAAATAAAATATTCTGGTGCAGGTATTGGACTTTGATCCTGCAGTCTGAATTATGTGCACGCTTATCTTAACCGGCCTGAAGTTCAAAAGGCCCTTCAGGCCAACGTCGCCATGATCAATTATAGTTGGGCACCATGCAGGTAGGTAAGTAGTTGTAGTAGTAATAATAGTAATAACAATAATTAAAAAATTTGACAAAAAATTAATTATTGCAGCAAGGTCCTCAAGTGGCAAGATAGCCCTCCAACAATTCTTCCTCTCCTCCGAGAGATCATGGCCAATGGGTTTCGACTGTGGGTATATAGGTAATTAAACATCCCCTCTTTACCTCCATCCTGGTTAACTTTTGTCATCTTTGTTATTTGTGATGGCGGTGGGTGAAATTAATAATTTGTTGTTCGCAGTTTTCTTTTTTTCAATTGGGTCCTAGAGGAAATTAAATACTTACCGTTGGATGAATTGCAGTGGTGATGTAGGTGGAGTAATACCAATCACTTCAACTAAATATTCCCTTAAAAAGTTGAAGCTTCCTGTTAAGACTGCATGGTATCCTTGGTTCCTTGACAAAGAGGTATTTTATTTTTCTGTATCTTATGTTCTTTTAATTCCCTTCTGCTTGCCTTTTAATTAAAATTAATTATCATTTGTCTTTCTAACTTCCCATTCCATTTCATTTTCTTTTTTCCGTTCCCTTGGTCATCCAGAGAAGGAAAATTTTAGAATTTTAGAAATTAAAAATGAATCAGAAATTTCAATTTTTGTGATCAATGATTGGTTGATTGAGAACACCAGATAATATAATAACACTAAAATTTTATTAAAAGGAAGTAATATTATTCATTAAGACAATTATGCTACAATCTCACTTATTTATTTTCTGATCTTTTACATATCATACCAAAAAAAAAAAGCATAAGGAAATAAAATATTTATATTATTTAATTTCATTGCAAATTAAGATATAATAATGCATATGTTGAAATTACATTTATGGGTATCGATTAGGTTGGGGGATACAGTGAAGTGTACAAAGGAGACTTAACGCTGGCAACGGTTAGAGGAGCAGGGCATATAGTGCCGACCTACCAGCCTCCAAGAGCTCTTTCTCTCATCAAACACTTCCTAGCAGGGAGACCTCTCCCTTCTTCTTCTTCTTCTTCTTAAACACACAAGTCATAAATAAATAAATAAATAATAATAAAAACTCTGATTTTATAGAGCAGCCATAAACTCAGGGAGAGAAGCATTAGCAAGCAAGAGAAAAGCACTGCCAGCCTGCGTGGTCTTCAGTGGTGGCGACGACGACAAGAAAACAGAGCAGAGAGAATTTTTCTCTTTGGTGTCATTTTCTTGAGACAACAGATAACGAAGCAAACTCTCCAATTGGCTTCAACAAGAAGCAGTCGGAAAATGTTTCTTGGGGGAGAAGACGACAATTGGCGGCGAAATTGTTTGTTTGTTTGTTTTTTGGGCCTCTTGGTTGTTGTGTTTGGTTTAGTCTGAGTTGCTGCATCTATTATATTGATTATAGTGGAAGATTTTTGGCCGCACTAAGTGTCGTTCTTACATTTGGGTTTTTTACGTTAAAATAATTTTTGGCTTTCCTAATTATTTTTCTGAATTATTGTACAGGGAGAAAGGTTTTTCCCAACACCCATGTTGTCAACGTCCTTTAAAATTCTTTTTTCTACAATTACGGATGAGTTCAAAGTCTTTCATATTTTGGGCTCTTGACTGTATGTATTTCATCCTAATCAAAATGAAGCTTCCTAAAGTTTGAAAATTGATTTTTTAACACTATTAGTAATTAGAGTTGTTAACAGGTCAGTCGGTTGGGGTTGGAGTGTTTAAAAATCAAACCAAACTAATTATAAAACAATAAAATTATTATTTGGTTTGGTTTAATTTATTTTAAAAAGAAATTTTTTATATGATTTGATTTGATATTTGATGTGTAAACAAATTGTATAAACTGAATCAAGCGTATAATGTATATATATACAAAATTAAAAATTTTCTATATATATAGTATATTTTTATTATTTAATTGCATATTTCTTCTTTATGTTATTTTTACATTTATATTTGTACTAATAACTAATTATTTTTCTTTTTCTAGAGTGTGATTTGTATTAGTTTGCGTGAAATTCTATAATAATAAATAAATATATTTGTTGTATAATTTATAACTACTATAATTAATTGATAAACAATGAGTTTAAGTTGAAAAAAATAGATGACTGACTTTTAGAAAAATGCTATTAAAATTTTTTTATAAAGGTAATGCATTTAATTTATTTTATTTTACAAATTACAAATCATGATTTGAAACTAACTCAAACCGCAAACCATGATTTAATTTGGCTTGTAAAAATCACAAACTGTGAAATATGGTTTAATTTAAATTTGAGTATTAAATCAAACTAAACTGAACTGAACCACGAATACCCTTATAAGTCGGATTTATATCAAATTAAATAAATTCAAATCCAAATCTAATAATCATTATAAATTTGAATATAATTTGAGATCCTATGCATTCTGTATTTATTATAAGTTAAGCTCAAATTCAATAAATAATTTTAAGGCTTTAAACGAGTTGGATTTAAATCAAATCAAACAAATTCAAATGTGAATTTGATTATCCATTTTTGCATATAAATCTAATCCGGGATCTTATAGGATCTATGTCTGTTAAACTATATTCAAATTAGATGGATAATTTGGAATCTGATTAAAAATTTTCGATCTAACAAGAAAGTAATATTTATTTATATTTAAGTCTTTCAACACTATTCATCAGTCATATTAATCCTTTAATTTTTTTTGATTTTTTTAGTATATTCTTTAGAAAATTGAATTTATTAATATTATATATGAGATTATTAATTTCATAAAAATATTATTAAAATTTGAATTTGGATTTTTACTATTAGAATACTTAATTCTATACCTGATCCACTTATTTCGGATTACATGTATTTATAATTAGATATAATCTATTAAATATTTTAAATAGATTCAAATTTTAAATTTAGATCAAATTTAAATTAAAATTCAATCTATTAACAGCCCTAGAATCATTTGAAATCTGACAAAAAATTCAATTTAATAAAAAAACAGTACACTTTCACGCTCAAATTTCTCAATTCTGTTTCATCTATCATTATTAGTTCCTAAATTTTTAATTTATCTAATTTAGTCCCTATAAGTTTAAATTTGTAATTATTATATAAGATTATTAATTTAATAAATAATTATTAAAATTCATATTTAAATATTTAACATATTAAATTATTTAATTTTATATTTGGTTTATTTATTTTTAATACAGTTTATGTACATGTGTTATTTTGTTTAAATTAGTTATGATTAGTTCAAAAACTGTTAGTTAGTTAATCTTGAGCATAGTTAGTTGTTAGATGTAGGTATGTAAAAGAATCGAATTCGGATCAAATCAGGCTAATCCGAATCCGAATCCGATTATCAATATATATATATATATATATATTCCAATCTGATCCAAAATCCTATAAGATTTCTACTTGTTATTACCAGATCCGAATCCAATAAAAATCCAAATTCGAATAAAAAATCTGATCCGAATAACTGTTAATAATAATTAAAATCAAATAATCAATAAGTAAAAGATATGTAAAATCAAATAAATTATTATTTATGAATGATAAAAATTCATGTAAAATTTATGTTTAATTAATTTTCTTTTATTAAAATAAAATAAAATTTAAAAATAAATTATTATTATGAATGATTAAGAAGAACTTTTGTTGTATAATATTACAAAAGTGATAATAGGATTCTAATATTTTTTAAATTATCAAGTTTTATTTGTATTATAGTTAGAATTTAGAAAATTTTATAATCAATTTATTCAAGTGTTTCATGAAATTTCAAAAGTAATTAATTATTAAAAATAATATTTACCATAAAAACTAAAATTAAGAAAAGTAGAAGAATATTATAGAATAGTTTAGAAAAAAATATACATTATTCTATTAAATAAAATGTCTCACAAATACAAATTAGTGTATTATTAATTATAATTTCATATATATTATATTATATATAAAAGTATTTATTAATATATATAATTATTAATTAAATAAAAATTATTATTAAAATATTCGGATTCGGATTTTAACGGATCGGATTGCTTAATTCCATATCTGGTCCACTTATTTCGGATTACGGATATTTATAATCGGATTTAATCTATCGGACATTTTAATCGTTTAAACAGTCTAAATTTCAGATCGGATTCGAATTAAAATCCAACTCATTGACAGTTCTAATTAGATGATTAGCCCATGTATACACTTATACTCACTTCGTATAAATGATGAAACGATATATGAATTCTTTCATTGTCACTTCTTTTGTTTGTTGTTTTTAATTTTATGATAATTTTGAATTACAAATTTTTATAATAACATCTGATTTATCAAATATTATTATTGAATTTATATCTTAAATTTAAATTAAATTTAAATATAATTCAAATTAAAAAGAAGCCTCTGTAATAAAACGGGAAAGCAAAACAATTACGAAAATCCAGATCAACATCATCCGAAGTGAAAAGAGAAAACCATGTCTCATAACGTTGGCTGGTGCCGCCGGATGATTTTATCGTTTCATTAATGTAGCGATCGAAGATGGATTCTGAATAGCGAAGGCCGGGGCATGCCTCCACCAGCCCACGTTTTTTGTTTTATTGTATAAAATTACGGAAATTTTAATCAAATATATGGTTTAAAACTGTGAAAATTAACTTCAAAAAATAAATTTATAGACAATTGTGTTGACTCAATTGTACCCCTGTTAAATTGTTTACCCAACTAATTTTATTTTAAACTATTTTGCCCCCACTCACAAAATCTTTTAAATCCATCCAAGAGCGCATTGCATGTTTTATTCTAATTTAATTAAATGATCCTCGTTTGTTAGACTGCCACAAAATATAATGTGAAATAACTGTGCTAAAATCGGATTATTGAAGTGGGGGAGAAAATGATCAGGCTGGGGGAGATTCAACTTCTAATTTACAAAATTGTCTTATTCTCCACCTTTTGAGAAATCAAGAGTTGCCAAATTTAATAAGCTCCCTTCACGAACTCATATAAATAAAGCTTTATTGGTTCCAAAGCCTAAGCCTGTGTCTGCATAGCCTGTACTTGCAGTTATAATTGTAATTTGGAGTCAAATTTTTAGAAAACTTATTTACTTGACTCAAGACTCAAATTATGTGATTAGAGTCATTAATTCTAAAATTTTAAGTTTTGAAGTTAATTTTGAAGTTTGTAGTTCTATTTTCTTGGTCACCCGCCACTACCACCGGCCACTAGTTGCTATTGGCCACCAGTCACTTGCCACCGCTACCAGTCACCACCGCCAACTACCACAAAAATAAATATCGTTATTCAAACAAATTTTCAAAAATCATATAACTCAAAAAATTTTAACTTGAAACATAATTATAAAATTTGACTCATAATTAAATTCTTACAGTTAGCATCCAAAAGGATCCTAAAATTTTCCCCTCACTTTCTTTTTCTGGGTTTTGTAGAAGAAGCCAAAGAAACACTAATGGCCAAAGAATGATGCCTTTGTCTTCCTTCTCTTCTCTGTTTTAGTATCCTGCTCTATATCTCCAGCTCTAGGGAAGAAACCAGCTGAAGCACTTGACCATCTTTACAGAGCCAAGAAAAGCTCCGCCATCAACGCCACTCATTTCGAGGCGATTAAGCTCGTTGATCAACCGGAGGTGCTGCGACAGGAGAGACTGAAGGAGAAGGACAGAATCGATAGATTGCTGGGTCCACCCAATGTTGGGTTCGCTCAATATGGTGGGTACGTCACCGTCAACGAGACTGCTGGCCGTGCTATGTACTATTACTTCGTCAAGGCACCGGACTCTAATAAAAGTTCTTTGTCTCTCGTTCTCTGGCTAAACTGAGGTATATGCAATTATACAATCTTGATTTTCGCCTGTTCTTTTAAATAAGAAAAAATCTTTTGTAAAAGGCATGTATCACTCAGCACTAAATAATACTAAATTATTTAGCTTAAGAATTACAACAAGTTCTTGCTGAATTGGCTAGAGAAGTTTCCCGAGTATAAGAACAGGGACTCTTTTATCGCTGGCG